ATTTTATATGCTAAATAATTAGGGACTCATCTTTAGATATAAAGATATTATATTGTTATAGGAAAAATATAATAGATAGATAATAGGAAATTATTTTTTATTTTTTTTTTTTTATTTGCAGTTAACTCAAGAATCATTATTGTCCTTTTTCATATCTCTCAATATTTCTCTAAGGTATATGAATGCTTTTTAGATTGTCCTAAATACTTATCTTAGGCCTAAACCTCTAAGTATAGATATTGGAGGTAAGTAAGTTTGCTATGTTTTAAATAAGCTGATCTATTCTATTGACTTGACAATTATTACCAGTAGCCATCACTGCCATTTTTCAACTGTTCAATTTAACTAAAACTTACTAGGATTTAGTCAGCAAGATGTTATTGGAGGATGAGGGTACACCAATATATCAAATTATCTGGGAATCAGACCCAGCCTCACCTTGTCTAATCTGACCTAGCAATATATGTGAAGGTTATGTTTTATAAGGTCATGTAGTCAACCATCACAAGTGTACTCTTTAGGATAGAACATCCCATAATACAAGCAACCTCCTGCACCTCTGATCAGATTCTTGCTACCAATGGATATGTAAAACTATACTGATAGTTGTGTGACTAATGTTTTTAGCCATCTGTACCTTTCTTTCCACTACCAAAAAGATCTTATGAAACTTCTTCCCTCTTTTAAAAATATTTCTTAAGCAATATTTGATAAGAAAGTTTTATCAATCAAATCATCTATCTTTGAACCTATAAAAAGTAGTTTTATTTATAAGACTCCTTGATCACTGGAATAATACAAATAGCTCTTTATTATAAGTTACAGGAATAGTGATACAAAGTCTTATTTTTAGGATATGTGAATTGCCCCTAGCTGGGGTTGAACCATGATTTATAGGTTAGCCTTACCCTGCCTTAGCCTACTGGACTATAATTGGATCAATCTTAGATAATAAAAAATTATAAGGGTAAATATATTAAGTATAGATAATATATTTGATATAAAAGATATATTATATATAAAAGATATATCTGATATAAGTAGTATATCAAAAATAATATATATAATAGGTATAAAATCAAAATGTATATAAGTGACTTGAAAATATTTAAAAAATAGGGACAATTAGGATAGGTACTGTACAACAGATAATTAATAAATTATCTTTATTAATAAACTTTGCCTTGTGAAAATATCCCAGTATTGTATAACTAATAAAATTGCTATACGAGAAAATAACTTTTTGGGATGCAAGATTAATGGACTAATCTGCGTCAGTATTATAAACTCTGGCCAAATTCATATATCTCTTTTAAACAAAAGCCATTTGAATGTTATACAACATAAAACAGATTGAAGCGACTAACTTGCCATGATTTTACTATAATAATATATATTGTATATTAATAAATAATTAATATTTAATATATATTCTATTATAAATAAAAAAAAAATTCATCAATTTATAAACTTAAAATATGTTAATTATTGTTAAATTTTTTTTTCAGGTAAAAAATGCTAGTATCACATATATTTTTATTGAGTTATTTATATTCAATTATATAAGTATAAGATTCATTTAAATTAATCTGCTCTCCCATCTATAGCCTTATCCAGTTATATTAATTTTATCATTACAGGGATGGATTAATACACTGAATGGGATCTTTAGAGGATAGAAATCTTATTACTAATTTTTAAATCATCTAATCTAATCTAGATCCTGGCTTTGTCATTTGGAGTATATACTTTTCAGGATTGATTAGAACATTCGGATAATCCATTCATTACTTTTTATCTGATTCTCAAAGAAGGTATTGTATTTTTTGTTACTACCTGCGGCTTCAGATTTTCTCTTTTTATCGGGTTCATCTTCTTTTAAGCAAGTGCCAGATTGGAATAGCCTTAGGCTAGAATATTTTTATGCTACAGAGTTTGTCATGCCAGTTGGAATTATGGATTTATATTGGAATTAAACTAGAAGTCTTTCCTCATACAACCTTTTTTGTTTTAACCTTGTTTCAGCCCATGATTGTTAGAAAAATCAGAGGTTCCATCTTCATACAACCTAACTAAATTTGGTTTGGATCTGGATATTTGGAATATAACATTTGTAAGAAAACCAATAAATCTATAAATGAAGAATAATTTTATATGTTTTTGCCTCCTGTGGATATTGAACTAGGGACATGTATTTGAAGATCAGGAAGTACTATCTACTGTACTATGGATTTACTGGTCTTAATTATTGTTAAATTTATATATTAAATAATTATATTTTATTTATTAGTTTATTATCAAATTTTTTTTTAACTAGCTAGATCTTGCTTAACGTGCTTTATTTAGTTTATATATATTACTTTTTTTACAAGAGTTACTATCTATAAACTATTCTAGATGCATATTAGGCTATATCGAATTTCTTTTATATTGGCTTGTTGCTATTGACTAATTCAGATGATACTTGTCAAGGCTAATGTGCCAAGGCTCCGTCAGTATTGTTATTGTATGAAAAATTAAAATTAAAATTAATAATATTGTTTTCTTGATCTAGCCAGCTTTCTAGAAGCTTACATTGCAAATTTGATATTTCTTCTTTCACATCTTTTATTAATTATATGTTAATATAGCTGTTTAATTTATTATTAAATACTATTATATTATAATTAAACTATTAATAAATATTTATTAAAATAATTAATATTAAAAGATATCAAACAATATAAATTTAACTATAAAAATATATATAATTTAATAATAATTTAATATATCAAATAATTAAATTTTAACTATTATAAATATTTTTAATAAAATAATATTATAATTATATTATAAAATTTATTTAGTTTAATTATAATAGTTTTAATATTAAAAATTTAAAATTATATATAAATTTATAAAATTTTATAATTAGAATTATAATATTATATTTATATTGTATTATTGTATTTAAATAAATTATAATCTAATTAGAAATAATAAAAAATGATAATAATAATTTAAAGTATATATTAAAATTATATATATTATTTTTTTTTTAAAAAAAATTCTCACCTGATTATATCTATTTTGTTTAAAATTTTCATTTATAATAATTTTAATTAAAAAAAATATTTTATATTCTTTATCACAAGTAAGCTTTAACTTAAAAATCTAAAAATACTAAAGTTAACTGGTACAATAAAATAAGACATTTGATTAAAGTTTATTTAAGTTTAAAAATCTTGTTTATTCTTTGATTGTATGAGAAAAAATCCATAGCAATATACTTTTATTTTTTGATTCTTTTGCAATCCAAACCCTTTTAATATCATAAAAATCATTCTTATTAATATTATCATATTCAAAAAACTTATAAATACTTTTCAAAAAATATACTTAAATAAAGTTATAGGATCTAATATTTGTTTTAATACAACTTTCATATACTTTTCTATCTTAATGTCATTTATTATATTACTTAAAAAAATCTATAATCTTTTTTAGTTTCAAAAATTGAAATCAGTTTATCTTTTTTAATTAATTAATATCTGATAACCATTTAATCAAAATCTATTATATAATTCAAATTATAACAACAAAACTAGTTTAAACCAGTTTTCAATCCAACAATAACAATAACAATAACTGGTTTAAATCAGTTTATCTATCCAACTATCATCATAACAACAACAATTATTATAATAAACAACTTCAAGTATATTATATTATTCATATCAAGAAAGTAGTATCAACAAGTTGCAAAGAATCAGAAAAATAGAACAATAAGTCTGGCCAGAAGTTTTTTTAAAAATATAATTTTTATTTTCACAAATTTTATAATTTACTTGATTTAGTTTTAATTTTAGTTACTTTTATTTTTTTTTCAAATTTTTCAAATATAAAAACTTTTTTTTTTGAGTAGATAAGTATAGTTTATTATTCAATCTTTGTTTAACAATAGTATTGTTTAAAATTTCTTTTCTTTACTAGTTAGACATTGTATAAGTAGACAAGCTAGCATTTAACTTATTGTATGCTTTTGCATTTAAAAGATTGTTTCTTTTGAATATGTATGCAATTATATATATATAAAATAAAGAAATGATGTTTATTTACTTTAAAAATATATATACTGTATATATGTGTGTTATTTTTGAATTGTATTTGTCAAATTATATTATATCTTGATTTTCGTATAATTTAAAATCTTAATTCAATTGATAATATCTGAACAATTTTTAAGCAAAACATAAAAAGAAGGTTAAGATAATAATAAAATAAAATAAAATAATAAAATAAAACTTTATTGATTATAAAATTATTAATAAAGTAATAATTTTATAAAATTTTAAGTTTATATTGTAATGTAATATTGTAAAATCATGTTATCATGACCTTTAATGTTAAATAAAAATTATATAATTTTAAAAATTTATTACAATTTAAGAATAATCTCTCTATAATGTCTAAAACTCGTTCTTTTTAGTAAAGTTATGAAATACTGTAACTACGAAGAAAATAAACTCCGACATGAAATTTTTAAAAAAGATTATACTAAAAACAAACTGCACTAATTGCCAAAGCCACTTAATGGAACGAAATTTCTATATTTTTTCCTCTATAAAAGTTATAATGATAAAATAATACGAATAATTTTATTTGAGGAAATTTCGCACTTTGTGGCTTTTCGAAAATCTATCGAAAATCGGGCAACCTCAAAAATACAAAAAAAGTAGTTCCTTATTATTTATGAGCACCCATAAAATATCGAATAATTCATTGATCCGAACAAAATAACCATAGTAAAAATTTTATTCAGACTAATTAGGCTATAATGACACTGAATTGATTCTCTATATATTTTTAAAAGCCTTCTTTTCTCAATGAATTCATGGTTCTTAGGTTGCGGAAATGGTTGGGCTTAGGGCTAACGAAAGGTATATAAACGCCTATCAGCTATCCAAAATTCTTTACCTCACAACTCTAATAGATAAAATAGTTCTAATATTATTGGAAAAATGAATTTTAAATCCTTTGTTGCTCTTTTGGCCTTTGTAACTCTGGTTTTTGCAAAAGGTTTAATTTAGGATATAAGTGAATTTTTCTTTTGCATATATTATTAACAGTAAAGAGATTAACCTAATTATTATTAGAAGAAAAGCGCTTGGCCGAACCAGAAGGTAAGTTCCGTTATTAGATTGATTTTTTTATGTTTTTAAATTAAAGCTAATTTTTAATAATTGATTACAGAGAAACGTTCTGCGGAAGCCGCTCCCGTCGCCGATGCATACTATGATCCATACCATAACCCATATGTTCCCGATTATTTATATTATTTGGGCCACAAACGTTCCGCTGATGCTGATGGTACATGAATTCTTTTGATTTTTGCGCGTTTATATCCTTAAACTAACTTTTCAATGATGGTCACAGCTCACAAAGAGAAGCGTTTCGCTGATGGTATGTTTCTTTTAGCTTTAATTTCTCCGATTTTATTTATTAATGCTAATTTTAGTTACTGATTACAGCTGACATGAAAAAGCGCGCAGCATACGACTATGGTAGTTATGGTAAATACTACGGATACTATGACGGAAAATATGTATATGGAGTGAAAAAGCGTTCTGCTGGTTAGTTTCTTTTGACTTCTCCGCTTATACTGTATATGCAGTATATTAATACTAACATTATTATGTTGGCTTTGAATCTATTGAAACAAAGATGAATGTTGTTGAGTTATATATGAATAGAGTTTGTTTTTTGTATTTTACTTAGAAATATAGACTGCTAAACCCGTGATACCATTTTGACAAATATCTTTGAATTTCATCTTATGCATATTTTGTTAATTAAAAATATTTCAAATTGATCTGCTAAAATAAAGTGAATCAAAATGAAACCGATTATATAAATATAAGTATTTGAGTTATACTTAAACTAAAAATGGTAAATCTGCTTATAATTCTTATCACGCCGCACATATTTACAGGGGTGAAAAAATTATGCATCACTATTTTTAATATCGGATTGTCGCTATACCTATGTAGGTGATGAAGGTATTTTTTTAAACTTCCCATAACATTGATCGAGTTTTAAAAAATATATACAGTATATCGCTCCTATTTAATTTTGATAACATTTAAAAAAGTGATGCATAATTTCTTCCCCCCTGTACATCGCATGTAAAACCCGTCATTCGACGACGGGTCTTTCACCTAGTAATTAATAAAAAAAACTTTTTCAAAACATATACAATTCTTCCAAACATTTTTAGTTCCGCTGATATCGATCTAATCAAGAATTCTGATTTTCCGGGACCGCCGGTCTCGGAAATTTATTAGCATGATGTTTCTTGCATAGTGTAACGGACAAACGGCGAGTCTTTCGCATTACCAGTGAATAAGAATAAGCAGAGTTTCAGCTACTATTTTGGGGTGCAGAAAAATGCTCCCCGTGCGTCACTCGTGCAGCATCCTTACCGCACTCGTACAGCGACTGTGCAGCACCTGTGCAGGCGTGCTTTCGGGTGGAATTTCCGAATTATGCTTATCGTATTTATGTCACGTGATTAACCAGGTGATCGACACGTAACGAATTTTGCGAAATCGCCAAGACAGTTTAAATAAATCTCGCGGAACCTTTGTTGCTCTAATATAATTAAAATAAAAATCTTATATTATAAAATTATAAATGATTTATTAATGATTTACATAATTTCTATAAAATTTTTATTTATAAATAAAAGAATTTTATTAATGGCAAAAAATTATTATCACAAAAACTTATAAAAACATTAAATATAATTAACTATTTATTTATATTTTTATTACGCAAAAAATTAATTTAAATTATATTAAAGCAATATTGATTCCGCAAAGTTTAATTAAAAATTTCTCGCGATTTTGCGAAATTCGTGAAATTCGTTACGTGTCGATCACATGAATTATACATAATTCAGAAATTTCAACTCTACCAGGGTTGCCATTTAAAAGTTCGGATCACATGACCATGCGCCACTGTCGCTCCCCATCTACGCGCCCATATCAAGATTTTTTTATCATATCAAAAAAATAACTTTTTTACGTCTTTTATTTAAAACCACGAGTTCTAAACTAAACCTTTAATAAAAATGACGGTGAAAGAATAATTTAACAAGAAGATATTATTTGCTAAAAATATGGTACTTTAAGTTTATTATAGAGCTTTAGACTTATAATCCCTTGCTATTATATTACTTATTATTAGCTATCTTTGATATTAATTAGTTCTGTTTTATCAATTATTGCATTATTTTTCATATCTAAGTGTGACAAATACATTAAGTATGACTTTCTAGTTGCTGGACTCCAAGTTACTTGTCAATATCTCTTTCATTCTACTGTTTGTATTTTTTTTTCTATTGGTATTAACTAACTCCATTCTATTATTATATGAATATGGCACCAATTATTATTTGATTTTTCCATGTAGATTCTTTTAATTGACTGTTTAAATAAAGACCAATTTGACTCCATATAAGCACAAACATTCTCTTCTAGATTCTTATCAATATTAATACTCTCTGAAACTTCAACGGATATTGTAGATATTATAGGCAAAGTATATTTAAGACTCTTTATAACAATAAATGGTGTAGTGATACAATATTTAAAATTGGTTCTAATTAATCATTATTATTTACCATCAGAAGTATTTATAATCTGTTAAACTAGATACTTGCATATTAAAAATTAATTTTCAACAAAGGCAAAACAACTACAAACCCAGCAAAAAATCTTAGTAAAATATAAAGTAACAGAATCAGTCATTTTTGTATCAATATATTTTCTCTTGTTATTGATATTTTTATCAATACATATTTTTGCTTTCTGTTTATCACTTGCACCTGCATAGACCCATGCTTTTTTAAAATCTTTCCACTATTATGGTTTCACTATGCCAGTTAAGATCTATAAGAGCTGCTCCTTTTGTACCGATATTACCTTATTAAAAATCATCCAAAGTAACAGATCTAGCCTAGAATTATTAAAATAATATAGGTAATATCATTTAATAACACTTCAGTGAGCTTCAATTTTCATTGTCATTTTTTCAAAAGGTGTTATAGGTTTAACTGAGTGTGTTCACAAATGCTATCAATTAAGTGAATATCAGTTGGTTTAAAGATAAGCCCATAATATTCGCAGCATATTTGTGATACAGAACTGATACATTTTTATTATCACACTTTGTCTTATTTCTATTGATATTATAGTGTCTCCTTGAAAATTAATAGGTATTAATAGATACATATCAAAATGCTTTTGCATCATCTTTAAGATTAACTTGTGATACTTTATCAGGCAAAAAACATATGTTTGTGAATCTCAATTATTCTCTGTTGGATAGAAATTAGGATCAATAAAGTCAAATTCATTTGCTGTCTGATTAGCATTATAATTTATAGATATTGGTTTCACATTTCTCGATGGTTTGATCTTTTCCTTGAGCTTTCATTTTAAGACTTGATTTATATATCAGGCATAGAATTAAACTATTAAAGGTCCCCATATCCAAGCCATAACATTAATTTCTGCAAAATTCTTATTAGTAAAAACAAAATCCGATTTAATATCACATCTCTTTATATCTTTCAAAAAGTTTTCCAAGATGTTACAGTTTTTTCCTATATCTGTTGCTCTTATTATATCAAGTATTAAATAAGCAATTGAAAATCCAGTACCTTCAACATTAGCTACTATATCATAAAATTCATAATACCCTCGTGCTGTCTTATATATTGCATCCAGATAAATTTCAGTAATATTAATACCTTGATACTTTATATCATTTATAAAAAGAGTTGTAAATCCAATAGCTATGACTTTTGAATTTCATATATACAAACATTGATGAAAACCTTGATTGTTATGTTCATCAAGCAGCCTATATGCAGATTTGATATGGTTTTTATGACATTTGAATATACTTTGTCTCATTATAGACTTTCAATAATAAATACATTTTGGAAAATACTTCAAAATGTCAAAACTTTAATGTCGCAAGTAATTTATTAATTCTATCATAGTGAGGTGTACATATATTTTAATTTTTTCTTTAATTTCAATAGACATCTCAATGTAAAATTCTGGACAAGAATGGAGAGATTCATGATGAATATTTATTGTCGTGACACCAAGAACTATATCAACTCGTATTATAATCTTACCTTTACAATTATAGTATATATGTTATTTACAATTAGAGTCTTTATGTTCTTTATTCTATATTTTTTTTAATTGACAACACATATAAGTAAACCTATAAACTGTGTTATCAAATTTTCTCAATATATCCATTTTGTGATAACTAAATAATTTTCTATTAGTTAAAAATAATTAGATATTAAAATGTACCTTATAAGATAGAACTTACTTTTATAAATAATCATCTCCACTCTTGATTTCAATTATAAAAAGATCAGCAATCTCTTTTGCTATCATATCTTGAGTATTTAGATTCATATGTATCAATAAATTCATCTAATAGGCTGTATGCATACTATTTGTCAACTCTTGGATCTTATGCTTTATAAAGTCTTCCACTTCAAGATAATCAAGTTCAACACATGCAGTTTTATTACCATGTTCGATTGATTCAATATTAGATGCTGAATTTGAAATTCCAATTTGCAGATTCTGTTTATTCTTTCAAGTACAATTCTTTTTACACTTCTTATATGTCTTATGACATATTTCATCCCAAATGAATTGGTCATCAGGATAATTGCTTTTGCATTTATTACAGAAAATCATTGTAATTGGTATATGAATAAGATTTTAGTATCAATGTTCAAGTCTATCTCAAATCTTTGAATAAGTATTTCTTGCCACCTAAATTATAATTAATATTTATCAATATACAGTCTGGTCCAAAAAAAACCAGAATTTTATTTTTTTTATTGCACAGAAATGGTCACATGGAATCACGTGAAATTTTTTTTATATAAAGTTTATTAAATTTATTTTTTAAAAAAAAAAATTTAATATGAGATACGTTTCCCTTCACTTTTTATAATTAGTTTGCAATGTCACCTTATCGATCGAACCAATCCAATTAGAACTGATTCTGGAATTTTTTGCTATTCTTTGTTCATATACTATTCCAATTCATCGTGATTTTTTGACATACGTTTCTCCACGTTGCCCTTGACAATGCCCTATAAATTTTCTATTGGATTCAAATTGGGCTATTTGATAGCCAGTCAATAATGTCTAATATATTTTCTTCAATAAAAACTTTCACCAAATGACTTGTGTGCTTCAAATTATTATCTTGCTAGAAGCACCACTTATCGCCAAGTATTCTTTTAATCTCTGGAACACGTTCATAAAGAATTCCCACATAAAAACTTGCATCCATGATCTGTTAAAAAAGAAATAATGTTGATTTTTCTCTAATACAGAACCACTCCAAGTGAGAATCTTTACCTGGCTTTTTGATATACAGTTTGGTCCAAAAAAATTCGGAATAAAATTTATTTCTAATTTTACTTATAATATAATAAATAATTAATCAATTAAAATAAAAATATATTTGTATATATTTAAAGATATAAAGAATACAAATATATTAAAAAATTATTTAAATTATAATTAAAAAAAAATATCAATTTAAAAATTTTTATTTTTTGTTAATTACAAAAAAAACAATAATATCAATTGTTAAAATTATTTCAATATATAAATTAATTAAATATAAATTAATAATACTTTATAATAGTTTTATTATAATTTTTATATTAATAAAAAA